AAGCAGAGGAAATTGTGTGCTTGGGTTTTAATAGCTACAAAGACACACAATGATATTCAGTCTGAAATGTGCTCTGGCAGGGCTGATTCTTCCATGGGATGCATATTTTCCCAGAAGTATGTCCTACAGTCTTCAGTGGAGGTATTCTCTGGGAAGCATGGATAAGATGGGAACGCCACTTTAGCTGAAAGCTCTGTGTCAGGAAGTTCTGAAGCAAACCGTATTAATTTAAGTGGGTTGTGCCTGTATCCGCTTCATCTAGATTCTAGAGCCTTCTCACCACAGGTGTGGACAGTGTGGGATTTAAGCAGCAGCATCCATTCAAGGGGCACTCAGCATGCCAGAAACGGCTCTGAGGCCGCAGTCTCACACTGCTGAGAGAACCAACTCAGGGACAAGCAAACAGCTTTAAAGAAAATATCCAGGCTCTTGCACAAATGGCGAATGCGGGTGGTGAGCCATTCCCTGTTCTTCTTTACCTGCATTTCATAACCAGCCACATACAGCTCCCTAACCCTAACCCTAACCACCAACAGCACAATCCTATGCATTAATCCACATCATGGACTTGTAGATACCCTTATCTTCAGTAGAATTTATTCCTGTGTACATTTGCATAGGTTGGCAGCCTTGAAGAATATCAATCAACCAAAACCTTGATTTGGTCCATAGACCTTTCCACAAATCAATATGTAATGCAATTAATATTGAAATTATTTTTAACAATGAATTACTGGTAAAATGGTTATCAAGACAGTATTCAACAATTGTTAAAAAAACAGAGCAGCATTGGAAAATGTTTAGGATACCAAAGTAAAGCACCAAAATGGGATACAAGTATTCAGTAAATGAAGTACAAGCATACTTATGCATAACATAAAAAGGCAGAGCCCATTTTCTTTAGGACAATAAGCTAAAGGAATAAGAACTATGCTATCCCTTAAGTTAATGCAACACTCTTTCTGGATTTTGCTGCAAGTCTGAAATACACTAACAGGTCTACCTTTCCAGAAGTTTAAAATAATAAAATCATAGAATAGCAGAGTTGGAAAGGGCCAAGAAGGCCATTGGGTCCAACCTCCTGCTGTTGCAGGACACCAAGTCACACCATCCCACTCAGATGGCTGTCCACTGTCTTTTGCATGTCTCTAGTGTGGGAGAGGCCACCACCTCCCTAGGCAGCCGGTTTCACTGTTGTATTGCTCTGACAGTGAGGAAATTTCTCCTGACATCTCGCTTGAATCTTGGTTGTTGCAAGCTTTCAGGTGGAGTAGCTTGAGAAATTTAGTCTTCAAGAATATGTTAAACTTTTCTTTTTTAATCATGCAGCCTAGTAATTGTCCTTGGAGCTGGCAACAAAATGCTGCATGAAGATAACATGGTTTAACTTCTTCCATACGTTGGTATTTTCCAGGTCTGAAAAAAAGATAACTGGGCATAATGTCTGAAGAAAACTGTACCACAGTGGTCACAGAGTTTGTGTTTGTGGGGTTGACCAGCAATCCTAGACTCCAGATCATCTTCTTCTTGGTGCTCCTGGCTATTTATATGGCCACCCTGGTTGAAAATCTAGGCATGATTGCCTTAATAAGGGCCAGTCCCCGGCTCCATACTCCAATGTACTTCTTTCTCGGTGGCCTGTCTTTCCTGGATGTGTGCTTTTCTTCTGTGTTCACTCCCAAGGCATTAGCAAACCTTCTAGCAGATAAGAAGTCCATTTCCGTGATGGGATGTGCATTTCAAATGTATTGCTCGATAGCTCTGGGGAGTGCAGAGTGCCTGCTTCTGGCTGCAATGGCCTATGATCGCTACGTGGCTGTCTGCAAGCCGCTGCTCTACCCAGTCCTCATGTCCCCCAGAGTCTGTATTCTGTTGGTGTGGGGGTCCTACACTCTTGGGCTTTTGCACTCCGTTGTTCAAACTGTCTTCACCTTCAGAATATCCTACTGCAAGACCAACGTGATCAACCATTTTTTCTGTGACATCACTGCTGTTTTAGCAATCTCCTCCTCTGATATCTATGTCAATGAACTCCTGATGTTTTATGAGGCTGGTCTTATAGAACTATTCACCATCCTGAGTGTCGTGGTCTCCTACGTGTATATTCTCACCAACATTGTGTTGAAGATCCACTCAGCTGCAGGCAGACTCAAAGGCTTCTCCACCTGCACCTCACACCTGACTGTGGGCACAATCTTTCATGGGGCAATTCTCATTTTGCATCTCCAGCCAACAGCTGGCAACGAACCGGCCTTTGAACATGTGAGTGATAAAGCTCTTGCTGTGTTCTATACGATTGTCATCCCTGTGCTGAACCCTCTGATCTACACCCTGAGAAACAAGGAGGTGAAGGACGCCTTGGCAGGAATTCAAAGGGAAGTACAAGCCACAAGGATGCAATAATGGGAACTTTTAATAGGAAAAAGACATGGTATTATTAAATGTGTACATTATTAAAATGGCATCTTTACTTATTTATTCATTTATATTTATCTCCCATCTTTCATCCCACAAGGAGCTCAAGGCAGCTTACAAATCTGCCAATGCCTTGTTTTGCCCAGTATGCATGCTGTAACCCAGGGACCCGAATAACCCAATGAGGGTCGCTGAGTACCTCTTTCTCACCCAGTTACCAATGGCTTGGCAGATGATCTCCCATCATCATTGCTCTTGGCTGTTTGGGCTTCCTCACTGTGAATGGTCCATTCACTAGACCATTGCTCTCGCAGCTAGAATGACATAGGCGAGAGAAGTGAGCTGGTGTAATAAAGGGCACAGCAGAGACTGAGCAAGGAAGGGATCCTGAGGAAGTAGTGGGCAGCTCAGTGAAAATGTCATGCCAGTAAGCAGTTCCGTGAAGAAAAGCAAACTCCATGCTAGGCACAATTAGGAATGGAACAGAAAATAGAATTGCCAAAAATCTTACTTCCCTTATACAAATGTTTGCCATGATTGCACTTGGAATACCGTGAGCCATTCTGGTTGCCTTTTCTGGAAAGGGACATTGCCTGTCCTTTTCTGTACTTGAAAAAAGTACAGAGAAGTGCAGGTAGACTGATCAGGGGCTCGAGCGGCTCCCCTATAAGGAACAACTATGACAACGGACTGTTCAGCTTGCAAAAAGGGTGAGTGAGGGGAGACATGACGGAGGGGTTTAAAATAATGCCAAGTGTGGGGAAAGTCTGAAAAGGAGAGATTTTTCTCCTTCCTCATAAGAGTAGAACCTGGAGTCATCTCGTTGAAGACAGATAAAAGGAAGCACTTCTTCACACAAAGTATAGTTAAAGTATGGAATCTGCTGCCTTGGGAAGTGGTGATGACCACCAATTCGAATGGCTTTAAAAGGGGATTGGAGAGATTAATGGAGGAGGAGACTGTCAGTGGCTACTAGGCTTGCTGGCTATGTGCTTCCTCCTTTACCTGAAGTGGCATACCTGCATTGCTGAGTTGCTGAGGAGCAAGTATCCAAAGTGCTGAACTAGATGGACTTTGATCTGATCCAGCAAACCAGAATTATGTTCTTATGTTCATTATTTACATTAGGTCACAGAGGATTAAAAAAAAAAAATCCCGTGTGACCTAATGTAAGCAAGCCCTTGTGTGGAGGAAGGTTTCCACCCATTTTACAATCAGCCTACAAAACCTGTTACAATCAGCTTTACTGTGGATTTCAGGCTTTGGCTACTTCAGGTAACTTCAGAGTGCACACAACCTAACTGTACTTTCCCCAATCAGCTTAGAATCAGAATAGCCGTGTGTTGCCCTTTCAACTTAGAATTGGCAAAACAGTGCTTTCCCCCAGTGAATTTCTGGTTTTGGTTCAGCGAGGGATTTGTTCCTCTTTCAGGTAAATGCAATGCTGCTTCCTCCCTCGTTCCCTCTGTCTTCTGAAAGAAATAAAGTTTGGAATGACTTTTTGAGTCTCTCCAATTGTCTCCATTTGTCTTTTTTTTTTCTTTTTTCTTTTTTTGCCTCAAGTAACAGCTAATTGGAAATGCATTCAATATACATGTTTATTTAGAAGTAAATACATTTGTCTTCAATGGGTCTTACTGCTTCAAAAGTCAGCATGGGGAGAGGAGTTTATTATTTTAAATTGCCTTTATTATATGACATAAGTATTTTAGTTTAAAACGTATAGAAATTCCCCAAACTGGGTGGGGAATGCTAACAGTTGTAGGATGATTTTCTGGCCAAACTTGCATAGGGTTGCATCCTTACAGTCTTTATCTTTGTTAACCATTACGACAATCTCGCAAAACACGTCAGACTTCTTATTACTATTGCTATTATTTTATTATGCCTACAGAAACAGGTGTGCAAATAGTAGCCTGACCTCTGCAAGTGTTTCTGAAGCAGTTCTGTGTTCTGCCAGTGGCAGCATTTCTTTTCTTGGGATCCAGAGACAATAAGCGCACTCATGGGGAAAGTTAAGGAACTATTATAAAAGACTGCAGAGATCATGAAGGCAAGTTTACATGCATTTGAAAACCCCTCAAAGAAACAGCAGATACAGGGGACTAAAGCAGCCTGGTCTGCACTGAATTTCTGCTCTTAGGAGATGTCCTCTGTGCGTGTGGGTATAGGTCTTTACCATATCCGTGCCTGCTTTGACTGAACTAGAGAAAATCAATGCGCTTTGCACATAATTAATTGGGGAAGAAGAAAAGATAACTACATAAATCTTGGGCATTCCCACACCAGAGATTTGGCATTGAAGAGGCCCTTTTGGTGATAAATGATATTGCTAAGCTCCTGCTGCTTCTACTACTACTACTTGCATTTATATTCTGCCTTTTTTCTCCTGTAAAGAACCCACCCCCCCCCTTTACATAACTCACAACAACCTTATGAGGTGGGATGAGTGGAGAGTCTGTGACTGGCTCAGAGTCACCCAATGAGTTTCATGACCCAATGGGGGCTCAGCCTGGATCTTCCATGCCCCCAGTCTAACCTTCTAACCACCGCACCAGGCTGGATCTTAAGTATTGCCCATGTTTTGTTCAAGCTCATGTAAACAATGAGTAACAGCTACTTAAGCAAAAGAAGTATGGCCAACAGATAACTGAGTGACCTTCTCAGGTCTTAGCTGACATTTAGATTAAACTCAAGACTATCCAAAACCAAAAATAATTAACAAACTTCTCATGTGAAACTTCAAACAATGAATTCATTGACATTAAACACTAGATCACGAGAAAAACACGAGACAGGAATCTGAGGCCCTCCTGGATAGGAGAAGAACAAGAATGTCCATGCAGAGAAGGCCTGGACACCAAGACAGAATGGTCTCTGTCGCCCTCTGTTTTCAATGGTCTTCCAGGCTTTTCCCTAACACACCGTGCCACATATGTTTTCATTTGAAGGATCCCAGCCAAGCATGATTTTTCTTTCTCAGCACTGAATAAGTGAATAAGTAGATAACATACATCAGACAGATAGCAGGAGAAAGCTGCACTCTAGCAGGGGAGTTCATTCTTTTGAGATTCACAGATGCTGTTGTCCTTGGGCCACCCTCTTTTGTGGTGTTTCTACTTATCACTGCTGTGGGAAATATAGACATCATTGTGGTTGGGAAGACTGATTTGCACTCTCAGACCCTCATGTATTTCCTTTCCTGCTATTCCTCAGTTGTCACATCCAAGATGCTAGTGAATTTCTTGACGCCGTGGAAAAGATCTTGTACACTGGCCATGTCTTGCAATTGCTTATGACTAATATGTGGCCTTCTGTAACTCACTGCTGTATAAAAGCGTCATGGCCAAAGGGTTTCTCGTCCATTTGTGATTTTGTCTTATGTAGCTGGGTTTCTGAATGCATCCATAGAAATGGAGTTTGGTTTAAAATTAACTTGCTCCCAATCCATCGCACACAACCGTTTCTTTTGTGATGGACCTCCTTTGTGTAAGCTCTGCTGTTTGCTGTCGCTGGATCTGAAGAGCTCACCAACACATCAATAGTGCTGGTCTCTTACTGCTGCATCCTCCCCACCTTTGTCGGGACGGGCTGCACTGCAGGCATGTGCAAGGCATTCTCTACATGCTCTTCCCATCCCATTGCTGTCACTGTTTTCTATAGGACCCCCTCCTTATGCACCCACTTCCCAGCTCCAGCTATTCTATGGACCAAGACGGGGTGGTGGCAGCTTTCTACACTGTGATGATTCGTTTTATATTTTTAGTATATTCTATTTTAATTGATGTTTTGTGAGCTGCCCCGAGGCTTCGGCGAATGGGGTGGCATAGAAATTTTCTAAATAAATAAATTAATAAATAAAAATGATCCCAGTGCTCAACCCAATACTCTGTAGTTTAAGAAATGGGAAGGTCGGAATGCCATGAAGAGAGCATTGGAAAGATTGTCACTTCCAAGTGCAAATGCTTTAAAAAATAGGGCGGGGGGGCAGCTCACTGTATAAAAATTGCCTGGCTGTTTATACAGAGGATAGTTGCTGTACTTGCCATTCTAGACAACTGTGCTCTTTTTAGTGCAGTCCTGCAGAGAAGTCCCACTGGGGCTGTTCCTGTGGCACAACAGTCCATTTGTGGGTGATGTGACCCATGGTGATGTTGTAGCACATGAAGGGGGCACCTTTGCGTAGCCCACTGCCATGGTCTGCCGCAGGGCTTAACTCTATAACCACGTAGCTCATATAACTCTGTAACTCACATAGCCATAACTCATCATGGGTTACATCCCACAACAAGGTGTAGCATGTCATCTGAACCCAGACACTTTGTTCACTGGGACTTACTCACAGGTACAAAAGCACAGAATCGTACCATAATGCAGAGAATTCCTAATTATAAAGACGGAATTATGATACTGGGCTGGAAAACATTGGCATTAAAGGTGTGGGGCTGATGTGATTTGGGGGCAAAGTAGTGAATCCAGGGCAAGACCTGGCAGCAAGGGGGTGAAGTCTGGTGATGCACTTACTGCTCACTGAACGCCCCAACATGGTGCCTCCCAGATGTTTGGGACTAAAACTCCCAGCATCTTGCCCATGGCCTTACTGCCTGTGGCTGATTGGTGTTGTATTCAATACACCTGGAGGCCACCATGTTAGGAAAAGAAGATCTAGGGCAGGGACTTCCAACACCCGAAGGCACCCACCCCGGCAGCCACCCAACAATCTTCACTCCTTATAAAAGCGTATTGAGTGAGTCTTTGTAGGGAGTAGGAAAAGTCTCCCTACCAAATATCAGCTGCAGGCGTAGGGCTGAAGTCAGCTCCCCACCAAGAGCCCTTGAGGCAGCAATGTCCTTTGTGGTGGTTCATAGACTTCAAACCCCTCCAAATGTAAAGAGCTGCTGTCTATTTGATTCAACAGACTGTTAAGTTCTAACTGGAGCCCTCAAGGTGCATCCCTGAAGCCATGCAAGTTGTGAGTGGCATCTACCTGTGGCCTCAACTGCTATCACAAGCCACATCATGATCTGGCCAGGAAAAAGATCAGGGCAGGTACCTGTTGTTCTGTTAGATGACCTACTCATTTTCTAGATGAATAAGGTGTGCCAAAGAATACGGTCACCAACAATCATGTCGGGACACCTGTTCCTTTTAATCTGTCAGACATATTAGATCCAGTACTCAAGGGGAGCAGTTTGAAGTGAACAGAGCAGAGTTCAGGACATGGAGTAATGGGTTAAATAATGGGTTACAGGAAGCCAGATTCTGGCTGGACATCAGGAAAATCTTCTTAACTGTTAGAGCAGTACAGTGATGGAACCAACTACAGTGGTACCTCGGCTCACGAACACCTTGGTTCATGAACAAATCGGGTCACAAGCAAAAATTTCTGAAAAATTTTGACTTGGGTCGTGAACACCGCTTTGGGTGGTGACCAAGATCGCAGCCATCTCCCCACCCCCCCACCCTGAGTGGGGAGATGGCACCGATCCCAGTTGTTTTCATGCAGGGAAGGCGTGCCTGATCAGAGGTGCGCTGCTGCAGGAAAGACTGGAGCAGCAAAGCAGAGCCACGGGGGAGATGGCCAAGATTCTGCCGGTCTTTCCTGCAGGAGCGCGCCTCTGATCAGGCACACCTTCCCTGAACGAACGGAGCTGCGATCGCGCTCATCTCCCCACCCCCAGTGTGCCCGCGATTGTGCCCATCTCTCCCCCACACCCCCCCAGTGCACTGGGATGACGGACGCATGCAGGGATGACAGGTGCGATCTCGGCCGTGCTGGGCGGGGGGCAGGGAGATGGCCGCGCTTGTGCTTGGGGTGGGGGGGTGGCCGCGATCTTTGTTGTTGTCACTTTGCTTCACATTTTTCTGATTTAAAAAATGGTTACAGAACGGATTAACCATATTTACATTGACCCTTATGGGGAAATTTGACTTGGCTCACGACCAATCTGTTGAGAATGCTTTAACTGGGAGTCTTGCATTGAGCAGTGGGATGGACTCAATGGCCGTACAGGCCCCTTTGAGTTACTATTCTGTAATTCTGCAAGCAAAGAAAAAGCGGAAAGTAGTCATGCTGGGGGCAGAGGATGAGCTAGCATGGGAGGTGGTGGCACCCTTGTGAGTAGGAACTTTGGCTTAGGTTTTGTTTTTTGGGGGCTAGTTTTCCTGATTTCTTTTCCTGGTGACACAGATGAACCAAAGAGAGTTCCAGACAGCTCTCCTATGGCTATTCTGACCTGAATATACCCAACACAAGTCCTGGAAGAAAAGACCTTTGCTTGACCTTCCTTCTCCCATACAGTGTTCACCTATAAGTCATGCCGTCATCTTCAAGTAGTAAGGAGCTTGCCTGCTAAATGGAGCAGAGGTATTGGAACCGGTTAAGGCTCAATAAGGTACGATTTCAATGAGAATTGTGGAAGATGAGTGTCACTTTGAGCCTTCCCCCCATCATTTGCTTCTCTTCAAAGTACATATCCTTCCTGTTGAGATGTGTGAGGAATCAAATACATTAGTAAAAACTGGATGGATTCTCTGAACTCAGGCCTGCAGATTCCATTCTATCAATCCTGCACTGGAGCTGACTTAATTTGACATGAGCCCAGCCAACAGGAAACTTGCATTTTTAAAAGAGGATGCAATTTTAATACTTTTGTGCTGAATTTATGTTCACCACTTGCATAATTTTTTGCAGATTTCTGCAAATTGCATAGAGAAAGCCTGCATTTTGCACTTACCTGAAATTGTGACAGAATTCAAGGAGGCCAGGGTGCAGTGTGTACATATGGGGTGAAATGAGGATGTTTCTATACTTCTCATGTTAAATGCTGCAACAATAATGGCTCGTTTGTAATGTATTAACCCCAATTTGCTCAAATAGCAATTTGCCCAAATTTATGTAATTTGCAGAAATTGTGCAAGAAATACATACTAGTAGGTTCCAAATTTGCGTATGTAATTTGAGTAATTTTAAGGAAGCAAAAAAGCAACACCCGCCCCCGCAAACCCCCCTCAGCCCA